AAGCAAAAAAAAGAAAGGCCACTGGGCCTTTGTGTGTCCACTAGCTCTATTTATAAAACACAAGAAGTTCTCTGCTCAGTCTGTATCTTCTATTAGCTACTTTCTGAGCACTGGGCCTCATGCTTGGCTCATGCATCGTTGCATTGTCACCTTGACTCTAATTAATTTTGTTTCTCTCCATGGTTGCAGACTATACTTTTCCCAACCAGGCATCCTCCAACAAATATTTATTGCACTTCCCACCATGTACCAGGCACTGGATACAAAGATTTTAAAAATAACTAGTACATAACATTTTGGAGAGCCTTCTAGGTGCCAAGATGATTCTGAGTGCTTCCACATATATTAACTCCACAGCCCCATGAGGTATGTGGATACTGTTATTAGCTCCATTTACCAGATGAGGAAAGGAGGCACAGAGAGGTTAAGTAACTTACCCAAGTCACAGAACTACTCAGTAATGGAGCAAGGATTAGATCCCAGGCAGCCTGAGTCCAAAGCCCACACTGATAACCACTGTCTTGTGCAACCATGAGGAAGACACGGTCCCTGCAGTTAAAGAATTTATTGTCTAATGAGAGCTCTGTACATCCACCCGATGATAACACCCTGTGGAAGGTGGTGTGATAGGAACACAAGCAAAGGGCTCCTGGAGCTCAGAAGAGGGAGCAGTTGAGTCCTACATCAGAGGAGGGAGCAAAAACAGTAGTAATAGCTTACACTGATGACAGTTGACCAAGTCTCAGCACTGTATTGAGCGCGTTAAAAGCATTTTCTCATTAAACCTCTCAGTAACCTGATGTTACAGATGAGAAAATTGGGGCTTAATAAAGTTAAGTATGTAACTTAACCAAGGTTCACACACATGTTTTGAAGAAAGAGGAGAGTTTAGGCTGGATATCTAGGTCCTAACCTAGAGGGGGAGGGGAAGGGTTAGGCAGGGCCAAGGCTCAGAATGAGCAGCGATAGGGGAGCTTTCATGAATTTTAACATTCATCTTCAAACAAGCAGATTCAAATTCTGTGTTTCCTCAACTCCAGGATGCACCACCTAAACCATCTGTCGGTAACTTTTTATAGTAAAAAGAAACTACTTTAAATGTGTTTTGTTTTGCTGACCAGCAATGACATAGACATATCTGCCATCCATGCCTTAGTGTTCCATCTAAGGCAGTGGTCCTCAAACTACCAGGCATCGAAACCGGCTGAGGAGCTTATAAAATGCAGCTCACCATGCCCAACCCCAGGGATTTAGATTCTGTGGTTCTAGGGAGGCACTGGGAGTCTAAGTTTTAGCAAGTCTCTTACTTGATTCTGATGCAAGACCACACTTTGAGAATCAATGGTCTAGTTCCTTCAGAATCACTGTTTTCCTTCTGCATTTATTCAGGCAGACTAAACATCATCAATTAAATCACTTCTTTAAAATCAGCCAGAGCCCGGCCAGGTGTGGCTCAGTGGTTGAGCATCGACCTAGGATCCAAGAGATCCCAGTTCGATTCCCTGTCAGGGCACATGCCTGGGTTGCGGGCTCGATCCCCAGTCGGGGATGGGCAGGAGGCAGCCGGTCAATGACTCTCTCGTCATTGATATTTCTATCTCTCTCTCTCCCTCTCCCTTCCTCTCTGAAATCAATAAAGATATATTTTTTAAAAAATAAAATAAAATAAACCAGAACTTTTTGTTAGCTAGGTATTCGGTGCCCATCTTATATCGTGAAGACAGAAGAATTGAGCAGAACTATTCAACCTTGAAAAGGAAGGAAATTCTGACACATGCTACAGCATGGGTGCACCTCGAGGACATTATGTTAAAGCGAAGTAAGCCAGGCACAGAAAGACAAACAGTGCACAGAGTTCCAGTTTGGGGAGATGAAAAGGGTTCTGGGGGTTCGTGGTGGTGACGGCTACACAACCGTGTGAATGTGCTTAATGCCACTGAGTAATAATAAAAACAGCGGGAGGGGGCTTGAGTAAACCAACCTTTCCCAGCTTTGATAATTCTCTGCTTTCTTCTGAAACACTGGTGATTTCTTCACCTTTGATTGTATTGCCTGATGTCTAACAACCAATCCTTTTGCACCTGCTCAGTGACAAACACCAATCTATCTGCCTGTACTACTCAGACCTTATTAGGCTCTGATTGCTGTTTAGAACAAGAGAGTATGTGCCTGCAGCCATTCCTCCAGGGAGGAATAATAGCAAACTGACATCTGGCAGCTCGGTGCCCAGTAACTTTTTATTGCACCAAAGCATTGGAATGAAGTGTTCCTAAAAGACATCTAAAGTAACTATTAGGAACCCAAATTTAAGTTACAGCTTAAACACAGGTGGTGCTATCAGGGCCAACCCCTCAACCCAGGTGGCCCTCGGAGGAAAAGATGTTGTCTGCATGGCTGACCTTGCGTGTGCACCAGTGGTGACAGTTATGGGAGTGGCAAGTTTCCTTTGGCCTGATTGTAAGAAGCATCCAGAGTTCAGAAACAGTCAAACGTGGGGGGAAATTATTTACAAATCGTGGTTCTTGGTAGCACACCAAAGAAGCTGATTCTGGCTAACTTAAGGAGAAAAGGAATTTCCCAAAAGATCAGGTTGTTCACGGAATTAATGAGAAGTTTGGAGAGCTAGGCTCAAAAACTAGGTTAGGAAGCCACCACCACTATGAATAAAGTCTCATTCTTCCTGTGTCTGCATCATTCCCTCAAGATTCAACAATCTGCTCTGGTGGAAGGTGATGACTGATTCTAGATCACCTGTGCCCCAGCCTGCTACGCGTGAGGCAAGGGACTGTCTGCCCCACCTGCAGCTTCTTTGGCCCATGAGGAACCCCCACCCCCACCCCAACAGAAAGGTGTTCAGCAAAATGCAAATCATGCACCAGACACAGATTTTCTTTAACCTGTTTCTGAACTTTCAGTTACCTGATTTTGGTCACAAAGGAGGCCCAGTGAGAGAGTGTTTGGGTCAGAGAGAGGTCAGTCATCACTACTGGAAAAGCAAGTTCACAGGCAGGTCCTTCTGGTGGGCGGGTCCAAGTGTCTTCCCCGCTCCGGGAACAGCGCCTTCATTTATCTGCTGAGGATCCACTACCGGATCTGGGGCTCTCTGGCCCACAAGCCGGTCTCAAATGACAGAACCACTCACTCCTATCTCGGAAGACAGTTTGTTCTGGCCTCGCAGTGACAGAACTAGTGAGATCTTGACTTTGAATCTTTACATGCTTCTGTGTGCGCGGCTCAAGCGGTTTTTTATTTTCCTCTGTTCTAAACTGGCTGCTCACAGCAGTGACAATAAACTCGGGCCCACATTCTGAGAACTACTTTTTTCGTCATCCCCAGGGAATCGGGGAGTGAGGCAGGTTAGAGAAGTGAACCTCATGACCTGGGAGCTCACAAACAGGGCGGTGACAATAAATACCGGGTTCGGGCAGCGGTTTCCTCTGGGAGGAGGTTGAGTAAAGGGCTCAGGGCGGGTGCACAGGGGGCTTCAGCATTGCTGAGCATTTTGTTTTTTTATTAAAAATGTGTCTGAATCAGTTTTCTCTTTCAACTGCTCCCTTACACCTGCTCTTCAAATTTCACGGAAACTGTAGTGCATGGACCCCCTTCATTTCTGCCTAATAGACCCTTGTCCTCTGGGCGCTTTCTCATCCATCTGAGATCCTTCACTCCCAATATCCTGAAATGGGTGGTGACGTGTTTGTACTTGTGCTGCACTGTGTATCCATGGGCTGTTGAGTATTGCTTTGTTTTTTAGCATCTTACCTAAATGTTATCACACTATGCATATCCTTCAGAAACTGATTTTTTTTTTTTCTTTTTACTTACCAATTTTTCAGAGATTGACAAGTGAAAATCTAGTTTATCCTCAGTGCTGTGTGGTATTTTGTTATATAAATAAACTAGACTTAAATTTTTTAAAGTATCTGAAGCCAATAAGGTAACGTGTCAAAATTTATTGAAGTTACCTGGTGGGTATATCAGCATTCATGTTATGGTTCTCTAGACTTTTATGCATTTGGAAGTTTTCAAAATCTAAAACAAGAGACACAGGACTAAAGCAGGAGTTAAGAACGGTGCCATCCGGGCTCTCATGGGCTGCACTGAGACTCTGCTTCCACAGCTAATCAGATTGAGATGAAAAATAAACTTTGTGTGACTGGCCTCCTCTTGTTTGCTTTCTGAGGGACTCTGTTCCCTGGGGAAATGCCTGAAAGTTTTGACCACAGGCTGAGAGGAGTGTTGATTTAACTGCATGATTTGAAGTGTATTGGTACGTGGCCAAAGCAAACTAAACAAAACTTGCGGTGGGCCTCGCCACTACAAAAAAGAAACTGGCAAGAGACCATTTCACAGAATGAGTGTGAGACATAATTTTTTTAAATATTTACAACATCCTTAAGATATAAATAGCCCAGGTGATAAATATCGGTCACAATTTCAGCCAGCCCAACCTTTGACCTCCTTAACACTCTTAAAAACTTGGGTCAAGAAAAGGGTATTCCTCTATTGCTGTGCTTACTGGACACCCAATGGGGCTCCAGTAAGGTGACCTCTAGGTTCTCCTCCTCTATCTCTGGTGCTTCCAGGAAAGTGAGACTCCAATGGAAGTAGGAGTTTTGACCTGTGACCTACAGTTTTGTAGAGCCTTTGGTGAATTTTTCCATTGATCCAAGGACTGTGCTAGGGGAAATAAGAGACTCGTGAGGACTAAATTAAATTACAGATAGGAAATAAGCAGTGCCCCAGTGACCATGAGCCCCTTTCTAGTCCCTGTTTCTTCCCATGGAAGGGCTCCTGGGAACCCCAGCATTAACTAGATGTGTCCAATCGAGGGGGCCCTTTTGAAGTGATGCTCAGGTCACGAGGCCTCCACTGCTTCCAGCTGAGAGACAGGCCCTCTTCCTGGCCGCTGCTGGAGAACCAGTGATTCCCGGGCTCTCGTTAAACGTGTCCCCCACACGCAGCAGTGGCTGTACTGACGTGCACCTCTCTCCACCTAGGGTACGACTTCTGCCAGGTCCTGCAGTGGTTCGCTGAGCGGGTCGACAGGATCATCCTGCTCTTTGATGCTCACAAACTCGACATCTCGGATGAGTTCTCAGAGGCCATTAAGGCCTTCCGGGGCCAGGACGACAAGATCCGTGTGGTGTTGAACAAGGCTGACCAAGTGGACACGCAGCAGCTGATGCGTGTCTACGGGGCCCTCATGTGGTCCCTGGGCAAGGTCATCAACACACCCGAGGTGCTGCGCGTCTACATCGGCTCCTTCTGGGCGCAGCCCCTCCAGAACACTGACAACCGCAGGCTTTTCGAGGCGGAGGCCCAAGACCTCTTCAGAGACATACAGAGCCTGCCCCAGAAGGCAGCGGTGCGCAAGCTCAACGACCTCATCAAGAGAGCAAGGCTGGCCAAGGTAAGCCAGCACGTACCTGGGTGGCACCCTCAGGCAGGGGCTTAGGGAACGGAACTTGTCATAGGTTAGGAGAAGGCCTTGAGATTGGTGTCCCTGTTTAGATTCTGGCTCCTAGCTCTCTGACCTTGGGCAAATGGCTTAACCTTTCTAAACCTATTTTCTAATCTGTAAAATGGAACTAAGAAGAGCACATCACAGGTGCTCGTGAGGATTCTGGGTGACAGGGCTTGCAAAGCACTTGGTGTAGCACCTGGCACATGGGGAGGGATCAGTGCACTTACTACCTGGAAGCTACTGTTAAGTTAGGACAGCAGTGTTCAACCTTTTTCATCTTATACACACATCAACTAATTACTAAAAGTCTGCAGCACACCAAAAAATGTATTTTTTGCCAATCTGACAAAAGAAATAGGTATGATTTTTATTCATTTACATCAGGAGGCTATTGTTGTGTTGGCTATTGTCATTTTTTTATTTTACAGTGTAAGGGAAAAGAGGTCAGTGCCCCTGACTAAATAGTATTGCATGTTTTAAAAACTTGTGCAGCACACCAGTTGAAAATCACTGAGTTAGGACAATGGAAACGTAATCAGCAGAACTGGAGAGAGGTGGTGTTGGTGGGACTAGTGCAGAACTGAGATGCCACCACTAGTCACCTGTGCCTAAGGCCTAAACCTGATGTCACTGCCAGGACCCAGAGGAGCCCTAGAAGGAAGGTTGGTTCAGCCTAACCTAACTGGTTTTGGGGTCACACCCTATCCCCGTTCTTGGGTGTGGCCTGTGAGCCGGTATACGGTGGCTCTGGCTCCCTCACTCGTAGCGGAGCCTTTCAGCAGCCCCAGGAGTGTGTGCCTGACAGGGGCGAGTGGCAGTCTGCTGGCTGCACAGTGAGTGGCTTCTGCTCTGGCTCGAGCTGACCATGCCTCCACTACTTTGCCTCATTCAGCCAACAATTGCTCACCTGGGCCAGGGCTGGAGGGCCACCTGGAGGGTTGGAGGACAGTGGCACCGAACCCCATTATAGAATGGTCAGCTCTGTGCTGTTGGGGTGGACACTGTGTTCTGAGGAGGGGGCCTGGCCAGGGAAGGCAGGAGGGCTTCATCCTGCTTCAGGATGAAGGTGATCATCCTTCCAACACCTCCTCATTGCCCTTCAGTAGCCTCTGTCTTCGTGCCATTGTGCTCGCACAGCAGCAATCTCTCCTGGCTGCCGCAGCCCCGTATATAGTACCTCCTTCAGCCCCTTTCCTCTCTGCCCAGCTTCTGTCCCATCCCTCCCATATTGCTCAGCTAATCTCAGTCACTGGTGCTCCTGTGAGTCACTGCTCTGTACCCTTTCTTCCTGCTATAAGCAGTTTCCTTTCCGGAACTATGACCACTTTTATTCCAGTTCTACAAGGCAGTTGTGCTAACCAGTTTGTCAGTCCACTTACTTGTAGCTCTCCTGAAATGATTTCTCTCCTGCTTGTCCTGGGCTTAATGCTTGGTGGCAGAAAGTCCGATTTTGCCCATTTAGTGACCCGTTGGCATGTGATATTTCTCTTCTCCAGCAGATACAGCTGGACTTAATCTTCAGGGTACACAATACCCAACATTATTTTATAACCAAGGCTGGGGTAAATCATGTCATAGCCTTTGCAGATTTCAAGATTTTTTTGGAACTACTTTTAAATGCACATGAATATTTTTAATTTACCTGTCATTGTTGAGAGCCTAGTGACTAGAGATGCAGTTGTATTCAGTCGTATAAAGAAATAAAGAGCCAAGAGCTCACTGGGAATGCCAAGCATGTGGGACTTTCTGCCACCCTCTGCATGGGCCAGCATGGCCTGGGTCTAGAGAGACACAGAATACTGCTCTGGACAGACACCAGGAATAATGAAAGCCCTGTGTAGATGGGGGCAGGGGGCAGTCAATTTGCTGAGCTTACTTCTAGGAAAAAAGCTTGTCTTTTTTTTTTTTTCTTCCTGAGAATAGTGCTGGCTTGTTCTTTTTCATAATGAAACATGTTTGAAGTACAGATGTTTCAGCTGAGCTTCTCAGTGCCAGTGTGCTCCTGGGGCAGCACCATGCTGTGCAGGGGGCCAGGGAACAGTCTCGGGCAGATAAGACGGAGAACTCAGCACAGTGGCCTTCGATGCCATCCACTTCACACCATCTGCAGTTTTATGACCACTTGCGAGCTTGTTGCTTAAATGGACAAGGAGTCGCCAGAGTTTTTCTCTTTGCTCTATTTATATTTCTTGAAAATGCTCTTTGATTTTGGTATATTTATCTTTATTTCTCTTGATCCAGTTTTCCTTTGGCAAGTCAGTCCTTACGGAGGGCAGGCCTGCTGTGTTCAGGAAGCATTATGGTTTGCATTGCATATGTTATTTTGTCTGACCTAGTCAGTAACTGCACAGACTCTATCTTCATTTCTCTCATGAGGGAGCTGAAGCTCAGAAAGGTGGAGCAACTTGCCCAAGGCTTCACAGCCTGTAAGTTGCAAAATACAAATTCCAACCCCAGTTGGTCTGACTTCTCGGACAGGGAGGTGTTCACCTGAAATCCAGAGTGGACTGCATCTGTTGTTCCTTAACGCGAGTCCTTGCTTTCTGCATTGATTTGCCATTATTTATTCTATAAAATTCTCTATCCATAGAAACCCTACAAAATTTAGAGGTTTATCAAGCTGACATTTTGAAAGGCTGCAAAGGATATTCAGAGTCACCTAGGAGATGTCAGATCTGAGTTGGGGTATGGAGTGTGACTATTTATAGACACACCATAATCAGGCAGAATTCATGACCCATCCAGAAATAAAACAAGTGCATTACTGTCCTGCCAGTTCTGCAGGACAGTAGAAGGCAAAGTAAATGACAAAGATGACATTTTAATAATATGAAAAACGTCACTCTTATTAAAGAGCTCTTGAAACGTAATGATTTCCTGGTTTATTTATATATTTCTTTCACAGCTGTCTTTTTCACATAACAGGAAACCTTTGGAGCGGGTTTTGGGTTAGCTTCAAAGATCACACATCTCATAATATCAGCAGACATTCTCTGAAGAGTGTCCACAGTCTAAGATGCAGTTGGGGTTTGTTTCATGATTCTTTAAAGTAAGGTATTTGGGGAAAGACCAAAAAAAAGGTTTAGAAAATATAATTCAGTTGTATTCAACTATGATTCAAATAACCAAACTAAAGAAATGAGGCTCTTACAAACCTGAGAAGATAGTATTTTATGGGATAAATGCACAAAAGTAAAAATCGAGGCCAGTTCACTATCAGACCCTCCCCTTTATAAACACACTGCACAAGAATAGGAAAGGTTCCCTCCCACGTGGAGATCTTTGCTCAAGAAAACGAGTCAACATTTGTGGAAGGAACTACTAAAAATGAGAAGGAAAAGGAGAGGCCAGTGATTTTCGGGGTTCACTGTAGTTCTGTGGAATTTGGTTTAATCTTCAAAACATGTTCCCTTTTTGGGCACGTGTAATGTGTGGAGCCCAGCTTTCTGGTTTGTCTGCACTGTCAGTGTCCGATCCTTGTATGGAGAAGTTAGACATTTTGAAATTCACCAAACAAACCCAGGCTAAGGTGTGTGAGTCACTCCACAGCAGGTGGTGATGGTCCCTGTAACGCTAGTCTGCCTCCGGGCTTTAAAAATAGCTCAGTCGGCAGCCCCGAGCTACTGTGGGGGTGTCAGTGCTGGAGCCCATGAAGGGAAGCCTGTGTCTTTGAAGGTTGACCTCAGATGGCTGGGTGGGTCCCCTCAAGTCCCCTTTAAGCTGTTCAGAATCACATAACCATCAGTGCCAGCTTTGATTTCAACAGAACAGCAAACCCCCCGCTCAAGTCTCACACTTGATGACCCCCATGGGCTCATCTTTTGGGTCTTTGTGAACTGAATTTCTTATATCATCATGAGCCCTCTTTAAAAACATGTTGCTCCCCTGATGTCAAGGGCTCTTTGCAAGGTTCCCGCTGGCCACAAAGGCTCGGGTCTCCAACAGGTCATGTTAGCTTGCAGATGAGGTTGCACAGTGTAGAATCATGCTTTCCCAGACTAACTGCTCCCAGGTATCCAAGTTCCATGAGCATTTCCATTCCTGCTGACCCCGAGCACTGGAAGCTTCCAGCTCTCACTGCTGGGTTTGCCCTCCAAGCCCAGGGTGGATATATCCAGTTTTACTCTGACTCCATGTTTCTCAGTCTTGGATATATACAAACACTTGTCACGGACACAGTTAACGAGATTGCAGCAGAGTCTACATGTGAACTATCAATTCATGTTCCCTTAAAGGGAGGACATCTCTCTGCTCATTGAGTTATTAGCCCAGAGAAAAATGGACATTTGGGCTTTTCCAGTTTTATACAATGGAGTGGGTGAATTGGACAAGATAAGAATATTCAAAAGCCCCAGGGTTCAATGTCCTTTATTTGTGGATAAAGCACTTGGGACCCAAATTCATCGTATTACTATTTAAATACGGAGAGTTTATTCATTATTCAGTGAGGACTAAATGGCCACGAGCCTCCCTGGCATTGCTACCCCTCCAGCTGTCGGTCTTTGGCCATTTGTCAATAATAAGTAATATTTTTACTCCTCTCCCTAGTGGACAGAGTGCCTTCAAGTCCACAACCTCTTGATAACCCTCCCTGTGAGGTAAGGATTGTAATTTCCAAATTGCAAATGAGCCAACCAGCTGGGGATTAGCCACCTCCTGGAGCTGCTCAGGGAGTGGGCAGTGGTGGCAGGGCCTGACCTCCACCTTCCAGTGCTCGGTCTCGCCCTGCCTCCCCCTCACCCCCCTCTCCCCCGTCTTCTCATTCCCATTTCTCTTCTCAATGAGTTTTCTCTCGTTATGAAGAACAAAAGATGTCAGACTGTTTCCACCTCCTTCTAGGGGGACCACCGCCTGGTCTGGCCCTCCATCCCACATTTATTTGGAGAGACACCTTTGGCACATAAGGGCTTTTGTTGTTGACTGGGGATTTCAGCTATCCCAGCTGCGCCCTCTGTTTACCAGGAGACCTTAGAAAATTACAAGGTGCCATCCTGCCAGATGGTTGCAGCTTTTACCCACACTGTGTCCACAGTGTTGTTGTGTGTCATATCTGTTTTTTGTGTGTGGAAGGGAAGAGTAGGTGACCTTCCAAAGCTTCCCTGTGAGTTAGGAGCAATCAGAAACCAAACCTCAAACTTGCCCACACTGTTGTTCTATAGGACACAGTTCACTTTGAATTCCAGATTTTCAACAGCTTCAGTAAGGTTTTTAATTCATACCCACAGAAAGCAATTGTATAAGCATGGGATGAGGCAGTTGAATGGTAGCGTCAACTCTACATCCCCTAACTAGCTGTGTGACCTTGAGTAAGTCAGATGAATTTCCTGGAACCAGGTGTTCACTTAGATATGGGGGATCTCTTCTAGATTTAATACTCCATGGTTCTAAGGATTATAATTTAGTTTGTAACTTGATCACCTCCTTAGAGGTGTGGCCCATTCATGGAATCTGACCCTGGGTTATTATCTCAGGGTGCCCAGGGAAGGCCAGAGGGGTGTGGCCATACAGAGACGGCACTATAGGAAATTTCCACAAAACAGGCCAATGGAACTACCTAGCAGTGGAGGTTGAGGCTGAGAGCAGCCTGCAGCATGAGTAGGCCGCCTGAGGGTCTTGACTCAGGTAGCACCAGGCAGGAGGGAGGAGGAGGGAGTTGAGGACTGGCACAGAAACTACCCCAGTTGTGTCAGGGCCCTGGAGGCCTGGTGTCCAAAGGTGGCCCATTATTCATCAGCCTCAGTCACCAGCCACTGAACAGTATGAGTGCTGAGGTCAGGGAGCAGGTGCCAGGCAGTGGGTGGAGAGCTGTGGCAGGTGCGCATCACCTGCAGCTCAGCCCAGGTAGAGCAGGCCCCTGGGTACCAGGAACAGGGCGCCTGGGCCAGGGGCTGGATGGAGAGTGAGCCTTCCCTGAGCAGGGGCAGGAAACTCTAAGGTAACTCAGTAATAGATGGTGGGAGGGCCTTAGGGAACCCTACAGGGGCCTGGCAGCTGCTCTAGCCCTGAGCTAGTGGGAGGGGGGCGGTTAGGTGTTGGTAAGAAGCCCTCGTAAATGGGAGACTGAGCAGTTGTCAAACTTCCTACTTCAACTGGGGCTGGCTCCAGAGCAGGCTAGGTCTGGGCAAGGAAGGGAGCTGCTGTATCCACAGGTTCAGTTGAGGTTCCAGGAGGGCCGAGGCCAAGAAAATCACGCAAGGACCCCTGGTGAGCAGCTGGGCCTCCCTGATTAAATATGGCAGCCATTCCAAGTCCTTCGGGGCTACACAGGGCCCCCCGCAGCCCATCCAAACCAAGTCAGGCATCACTATCCAAGGCAAGGAAATTACCAGTCTTACCACTTATTCATCATATCCTCAGGAAAGCAGCTAAAGCTCATCACTCTAAATAAAAGATTCCCAAATTTTGGGCTTCTCTATCTCAAAGAATCATGTAAATATTATAAGTTGTTTTAGTTTGAAAAGTAAGTAGATAAACAAAATTACTAGTGACAGAAAGTTTAGAATCGTCTCTCCCAACCTATACTTGTAGCAGTAGCCAGGCAACACAATGCATGCTTGTGTAAAAATGGCCTTTATAGAGATGGAGAAGGTGGCATTATATGGTCCAAGGATTCCAGCATTGTACTATGCACTTATTTTAGTGTTTGGGTCTTAGCAGAATGGTTTTGGTTGTGCCCAGTGTGTATCCATGCACAGAGTCCCTCAGCTGAACCAGGGGATGTATCTGCTCACCCCCTTTATTTAATTTCCATTCTTCCACAAGATTATAGTAGAAGTCTGTTTTCTTTAATAGGATTTTCCGTAGCTACATAGTCATTTTTGTTTTGTAATCACTGCTCTGTTTTTCATCCTTTCTTATTTTAGTGATTTTCTTGACTTCTAAATTACTCTAGAATTCTAGATACACAAAGAGAACTTTTGTAATGAACGTTTTCTAATGTCCTGAAGTTGGAAATCAGTGGAAAAGTACAAACTTTTAAGGAAGGTGGTGACATAGGCCAAGCAGGATTCATGCCCCGGATACTAGTCTGGCCTGCTACCCCCATGTGATCAGGGTTTCTGGGGCTCCCCTTTGTGTGTTGGAGTCTTTCTCCCAGAGCAAGCTTCTGCTGTCCAGCATGGGCCCAGGCAGCTGGTCCTGTGCAGAAATGACTTTAGTGCCCCCTGTGGAGATCTTAGGGTCTACATCGTTCACAGGAAGGTTATGTGAATTCTCATCTCACTGCTCACTGGGCTCATGTTTACGGCAGCTCCAGTTTCGTTTCCTGGTGCTCCTGGGCACTGGCCCCGGGGAAACTCTTTAAGTCTTCTGGTTAATCAGAGAACTAAGATCTTTCCCACCCAGGCCCCACCCATTTCACTCACTCCCTGCACAGACCTGGAACAGTCACTCCGAGGCAAACTGAACTATGGCCGTAGAACTTCCCCAGGTCAGTTGCCTTCCTCAGGGATGCTTTTTAGGACATTGTTCCAAGGGAAATCTGTGTGAGCCCACCTCGCCCCCACCCCGGACACAGCCAGGTATCATCAGCCCACCTGGAAAGCAGGGCGTTCACGGCATTATTCCTGCCTCTTGCTCTCCCAGAACCATCATTAGCACAGTGTTAGGACAGCAGGCTCGTTCTAAATCCATCATTGGCTCCTAACTCCCCGAGCGGAGTCTAAACGCACCCACCTTCCCCACCTCTAAGCCTGCGCTGCAGCCTCGTACTTGGCACTGCCCCAAGCCTGGCCCAGCGTTGCCTCCACACCTCCGTCCATGCTGTTCCTCCCTCAGGCTGCCATATCCCTCCCCTCACCCACACGTCCTACCTGCTCTTCAAGGCCCAACTCGGATATCTGTCACCTCTTCCCTGGATCTGTCCTCCCACAGTCCGTAGCTGCCACATTCCACATCCAAAGGTCTTTTTCCAACTCTTTCCCCTCCTGACCCATAATGATGGGGTTTTCTCTGCTCAGTTCCCGAGTGTCTCATCCATTTGCGTGGCTCTGGCCACCCCCTCGACTCCAGCTCTCAAACCCATCATCCAGGCTAGCTCTCTCCCAGGCTCTGGTCGTCCCTTCCAGCCACCCTGCGACAGCTCCCCCGTATACCTGGTATACCTCATATTCTACATGTCCAGAACCAGGCTTGTCATCTCCCCCAGTCCTTGCCCTTCTCTGTTCCCAAGGACCGTGGCTCTGTGTGGGTGCCTGTTGTGTGTTGTGATGCATATAAGATGCATTCTTGTTTGTCCTTCTGGTGTACTTCTAAATGGCACTTCCTCATTGACATCTACCCCTTCAGGTACACGCCTACATCATCAGCCACCTGAAGAAGGAGATGCCGAGTGTTTTTGGAAAGGAAAACAAGAAAAGAGAGCTTATCAGCAGGTTGCCAGAAATCTACATTCAGCTGCAGCGAGAATACCAGATTTCTGCAGGGGACTTCCCGGAGGTCAAGGCAATGCAGGTACTGGGTGCCTGAAACAGTGTCATGGGCAGGGACAGAGGCACTGCCACTTTGTCCAGCTGGTCACTGGGTACACATGGTTCATGGTTTAGGTTGGAGGAGAATGCAGTGAATTTCTGTTCCTCACTGTGATCTGTGATAACAGGCTGCTGTGAATAAGGCAGAAGTTGCCTGCCTCCTGCAACATTTGAACCAAAGGGGACACAGTTCAGGGAGTTAATTAAGCTCACATGAAAAAATTATATGAGCTGCCCTCTCAGGCTCTGTTCAAGGTTGTTTTGATGTTGAGGTGACACCTGGTTTTTAGAATCCCAGAACCTTAAGGGAATTAGAGCTGGGAGTGACCTTGGAGGTCACCCAGGCTGCCCCTCCAGCACCCCTGTCCAGCGGGGCCCTGTGCTATGGGATTACATGCTCAGGCAGCGTCGCAGCTGCAGGCTCAGTGGCCAGTAAGAGGCATGGGGCTCTGTGGACATGCTGGACTTCACTAGACACTTTGAGACACGCTCACTGAGGATTTTGTTAGATGTCCGTGTTGAGCAGCCTTTGGCCAGGTTTCACGGTCTCGCTGAGGTGTGTGGGCAGCCCCAGATGAGCCCGAGTGCATGCTACTTTCAGCCCCTCTGGCCTGACCACTGTGCCCACCACCCGCAGTGGTGTTAGGTGAACATACCAATGCTGACCACATCCTTCTGAGCAAGGCAGGCAGGTCCTTGACTGGACAAGAAGATGGTCCTCACAGAGCCATACTGACTGTCTTCCTGTCCAGTGCAAGGACCTGTCTACTGGAGGCCACAGTTCTTTGGGAGGCAAGCGGTACAAACTGAGATGGCTGCAGCCAGGCAAAGAGAAACTGTGTCCTCTCTGACCTCTTATTTTCTCACATTTGATAGAGGCGTGGGTTCCTAGAAATGTGTCTCTACATGGAAGAAATCAATTCTACAAGGGAGATGAAAACTTGTGGGGGGCCCATGATGGGGGCAGATTGGAGATCCAAGCTCCAGCCCAGGAGGAAGGCCCTGTCCTGCCCAGTGGTCGCTGCCCTGTGGGAATGCAGGCCTGGATAGCTCACCGGAAGCTGGAAATCTATAAAGTCCCCCGGCTTTCCAATTTTGGCTCAAACTTTCAAAGAATACTACATAAGCCAAACAGGATACCTGAATACTGGCTGCACCCTGAGCCACAGAGAAAGACAACACTGAGTGAGAGTGCAGTTTAAAGTGCAGCTGGAAGGCTGGGCCTGTGAGCTTCTGCCTGCCCGGGAGGGGGAAGGGGAACAGGGGAGACAAGTGTCAACAGGCAGCAGGAGGGGAAGTGCCAGTCCTGAGGGGTTTTTTTAATGTGAACTTTATGTAAGTACACACTAAAAGAGGAGTGGGTTATACTCACTGTTGCAATGGCAGGACTCAGAGTGAGTGTATCTGGAATATATGATCTGGTCAAATAGGACTTAGCTGGCTTCAGAATCAATACAGAAACACCTGCATTCTTCCACAAATGAAATAAGTATTCCTGCATTCAGAAGACACATTGCTTTATTTTCTGGTCACAAGATGGCTAATTTGAGGGGCCTCTTGGAGCATCTTCCTGAGCAGGTTCCACTTTCACACCCTTGGCCCTGCACCCCATGACCAGCTGAAAGACTCCTGACTCCTGGCATCCTTCAGAAATTTTTAAAGGGAAATTGGTTCCTTGACTAAACTGAAAACTGGGCACACTAAGGCCTAATGGGGCTTCTGTGGCTCGTTAGCCTAATGATGCTAACCACAATGCCATACCCTACAAGAAGATGCTGCTCCCAAGACCTGAAGCACCACTGAGCCATTGGGGGGCTGCTGCAAGCCTCCCTACCAGGGCCTCCCACCCACCCCCCAGTGAACTGCTTTGACATAGGGAGCTAACTGTGACCAGATCTGATGACCACATTAGCCTGGGCCTGGCTGGGTCAGAGGATGCCTAGGCCTCTCTGTGCTGGGGCAGAAGGGCAGTCCCTGGGGGAGAAAACAAGGAAGCCATGTGCCCCCTCACCTTGGGTCTCCGGAGCAAGCATAGCCCAGTTAGCTGGACAATACAGGAAGGGCTTAAACCTTCACTGAGAACCCCCCACATCAGGTGCCTTAGCACCTTCAATGAACACCTGAGTGCCCTAGAACTGGGATCAAGGAGTCCCACCTGACAGGTGCCCCATCACTTATGTCCACTTATTTATTCACCCAGGAAATATTCATTAAGCCTCCTATGGCCAGGTACTGTTCTAGGCCCTAGAATAAATCAATGAACAAAAATGAACAAATGGCAAAAAGCTTTGCCCCTATAAGGTGTACAGTGTAGATTATGGTCTTTGCCACTGTGACTGTGGTTCGCAGTGAAGCTTTTGGCAGCAAAGCTTCTTGTTGGGACATGTGCTCCTTGTTACCACACAAATGCTGTTGTGCTTCAGTGTAATTAACTAATGTGTTGTCTGTTATTTAGGGGCTCCTTCCTCACAAGGCTGTAACCCCATGAGGCCCTTGACCCATGTCCTGTTCACTGCCATATCCCCAACACCTGTTCACTGTTAACTTAGTGTATGTTTATGTCAAAAAAGAAAGTCTATACCTACACCTATAGAAAAAAATTTATAAGAGTTTATCTGAGCCAAAAAACTGAGGACCAGCCAGAAACAAATGATCCAAAGAATGGGAGTTTTACAGGTCTTTTTATACATTTAGAATCAAAGGGGAAAATACAAGGAAGGTTATGTGAAATCCATTGCTGGTAGGAGGCAGGAGAGAGCAAAGCGGGGAGATCTCTAGGATTGGGTAAAAAGTAAAAACAGATACGTATTTATTTTACATTGGTAGGTACAGGATGCTTATCATTTCACATTTACAGTAAATAGAGGTGGTCTGGAGCAACAAGATAACTAAGAAGTTTCCCAGTGGTCCCGCCCTGGTGCACGTGGTTATGCCTCCTCTGAGGGGACTGGGAAAGACAGTTACTGACGGTCTAAGGGTCTATTATTTTAGATGCACAGAAACAATGGGCAGGGCTTACTTAAGGCACAAATTAGCCCTTTATTAAGGAATCTATAGGCCCGGAGCGTGACTGTGCACCATGACATGCCCCGTTAGGAATCTGTGATTAGACATCCTGTGTGGTTCCTCTTGATCACTGAGCTTGTCAAGTTTGCTACATAGCCCCTCTTTTCCATTCACATATATCATAGCAGGCTCTAAGGTGGTGACTCTCTCAGACCCTGGTCCAGCCCTGACTCTGACTCTCACAGGGCTTATAGACCAGCAATTTCCAGAGCAAACCCCTGAAAGCTGGAAGAGGCTTCCTCCTCGGGAAGCTAGCTGGGCCCTGATCACACTGCCCCAGTCCCTTCAGGCACTCCCCAGGGAACAAGGCAGGCCTGGAGCCCATAAGGTGTGCTTCAGGCCAGTTTGCTGAAACCCTGGAAGCTTTGGGGAGGTGGGTCATGGTGTGGGTCAGGGCCTGTGCCATCCCCTGAGTCTGTTGAGCATCTGACATCATCCACAGCACAGACATTTGACCTAACCTCGATTGCGTACAGTCCTGGCAGGGCTTAAGCTTGGCAATGACTTTATTATGATCTTTGCACATCTCAGGGTCACTCAGAAAGCTCACCAATGCCAGCTCTAAGTCTGTGTTCTCACTGTGCCCTCATAGACCAAGCTGGTCCAGCTGACTCTTAGCCATAACGAGTCAGGTGTATTTTGAAGGCTTTTGCCTGGTGCTGGGAGATACCTGTGACCTGCTGGAGAAGCTGCCTGTGTTCACCCTGCTCTTTTGGGAGAGAACCTGATTTACCACACCGATGTATCTACTGGAAAACAAGGAGAACACTAGCGAGGCCACCTTTATTGCAGCCTCCGTAGTCCTCCAAGGAGAATTTGGCCCCCGGGGCTAAGGAGTTGGCAGCATTTCAGCAGCAGAGGGCAGCAGAGCCATCCCCATCTGCTCAGACCCTCTCTGAATTCGAGAATTGCTTCTGGTGAATGTTGGGAGTGAGTGGGCAAGGGATAGCCCGTGGAGACTGGGCTAGGAACTGACACAAATCTGGGAGGGAGCCATTCCAGGGTCCTGGGCTTGGTGGCTTTGACAGGTGTGATTGTTGATGAGTAAATCTTTAAATTCCCCACGGTGTATTCATCCCATTAAAAAGACTTCTGTTTTGGAGCCATCCTAGCGGAGGGCAGTGGTTTAATTTGTACCCCACACTCCCTGGTCAGGCCTGGGGTGGGGTAGTGCAGTCGTTTCCTATGTGCCCTCCGGGGCAGGAATTGCTGCTGCTGCTGCTCCCTGTCCACCCCTGTAAGTGTGTGGCCATTTCCCCTTGACAGCCTCCCAGAGGTTGCAGTCTGGATCCACATCCCCTGCAGCAGGGTGGAAAGTTTGGGCGGACACCCCCCTCATTTGTCTGTTTAGCCAGACACAGGGCTCTGTGTGTGCTCAGGACTCGGGCTCATTCGAGGGGAAATAGGGTAGGTGTTTGTGGGCGCAGGAGAATCCAGACTTGGTTACCCCAGCGGCACTCGGATTTTTGTGTAGGCTGCCTGCTTTCCTCCTCGGGCTTTCCCGTCTCAGTGCCATTGGCTGACAGATGATGGCAGCATCATTTGGTGCTGATGCTGGGGTGGCATGCAGGTGACCACAGTCTGTCCATGAGGATGGAGGAATGCATTTTAAAATCCAGCCTGCACCGCCCTGCTGCTCTAAGCCAAGTGCAGGCCGCACACTGATGTCAGCCCAGCCCGGCAAGATTTCACAGCTGCAGAGTTGGCTGCTGAGAAGAGTATTGGAGGTGCCTCTCTAGAGATGGTGCCAGGCTGTTTAGCTTTCAGTTCTGTCCCCTCTGCCATCTAAAGCTAAGGGCTCCGCTTCTAAATGAACAGCTTAGAATGTCCCCCCTGCCCGTATATCCTAGAGACCACAATTTTGATTCTCCATTGGAAACAGCCTAAACACCCAACTACATGGGACAAGGTAAATGGCAATGGCTCAACTATAAACTCAGTGTTATATAGCTATTAAGAGTAAGGTTATACGTCAGGCTGATTCCTGGGTTTAGTGTCAAGCCTGGCTAAGTGTGGAAGGACGGCCCCAGAACAGAGCAATTCTGCAAAGATGGGAGGTGGGATTTTTTTGTTGGTTGGTTAGTCTTGGAGTTTTGTTTTTTGTTTTAGCTCCTGGCAGTCAAGGAAATGTCTGTCAAAACACTAGCTGAACACAGACTAAGGAACAGATTACAGTGGATACAGTCTTTGCAAAAGATAGTTTGGGAAAGTCACTAAAAAATAATTAGTTCGTATAAAAATTAATATCGTGGAAAGATATTATTTCTTTAAAATACCAGTTGTTAAACACTGTGTTCTTATTTCAGTTAAAGTGTGTGTGTGTGTGTGTGTGTTTATAAAAATAGCTAGAAATGCATATCCCAAAATATCAGGTTATTGCTGGGTGATGGAATCATAAGTGATTTAAATTTTATGTTTTTCTTTTATTGATTTCAGGAAGAGGAAGGGAGAAGGAGAGAGAGAAACATAAATGATGAGAGAGAATCATCAATTGGCTGCCTCCTGTACAACCCACACTGGGGATCACGCCCAGAACCAAGGCATGTGCCCTGACCGGGAATCAAACCATGATCTCCAGGTCATGGGTTGATGCTTAACCACTGAGCCACGCTGGCCAGGTGTGACTTAAATTTTTTATTTTTGTTTGTTGGGTTTTCCTCAAAAAATATTTACAATAAAAGTGTGATATTTGTGATAGCACAAAGTTTTATATTTTCTAACTGCCTATCACATTACTTCTGCCTCAGACAGTCAGATCAAAGGGTATGTGAAACCTCTTTTCCTGCCTCATCTCCCAAACATTGCGCACCCGGCCCTCTGGAGCTGTCCCAACAGAAATACTTCACGTAGAGTCCATATAAGAACCTGGAATTTGCTGCATCTATTTGACAAAACTGCTGTTGAAGACACTTTTCACTAGATCTTTGAGGCCCCTCATAAAAAGCCCTGGGAAATCTCATAATTCAGGACAAAGAGAAAGTTTGCAATGAGCAGGTGGTTTCTCCCCTCAGACAAGGAGGGGATGTGATCCCCCAGCCCCAGACCTCAGCCGGGGCAGCTGAGGAGCAGCAGCTTTCCTCTCCTTAGTTGTCTGCTGTGTCCATTCCCACCCTCCCCCTTTTAATGACTTGGGTTTTCCCTTTCTAATGACTTCTAGTTCATGTTAACATTTTCGCTGTAAGCTAAATCAACTCTTTTTGAAAGTAGACAGGAACAGATACACTTGAGTGTTCTTCCTCTATTGCAACATTGGCTCTCTGAGGGTATAGACTATGGCTTTTCATATTTATATCCCCAGGCCCTAAAGCAGGACCTGGAACATAACAAATGGCCAATAAATGTTGGATGGATGGATGGTGGGTAGATGGATGGTGGGTGAGTGGGTGGATGGATGGATGGGTAGCCGAGGAGAACCAAGGTAGGTAGAGTGTTTCTACACAGCCATCCACAGAGCATCTGTGGCTCCTGTGGTTGGCTCCTGCCCTGGCCAGGCAATTGCCTTGTCCCCCTGGAGGCTGTGTTCCTGCTTCTCTGCCTGCTCACCGGCCAGTCTCCGGGGAGGTGGAGCTGAGGCCTGCCGGAGTTGACCAGTATTTTGAGTGGATTTATACTCACTCTCCCCATCCCTACCCTGTTCCCTCTTACCCATTTCAACTTTTACTTATTTGTACCCTAAACTACATTTTAAAAAGCTGATCCAAAAACAACATCCTTAATTGTTTTAACTAAATAAGTCCCCCTGCCACAGCATCCTGTTACAGCACAAGGAGCGCTAGTCAGGGGGCAGGATGCATGGTCCCTTGTCGACTCCACCAGGGTGCCCATGTGTTCTCTGTATAACGGCTGTTAATGCCTCTCCTTGCTAACTGAGGGATGTCATAAAAGATAAAATACTGAATCTCTAGAGGACTAAAAATAAGAAAAAGGCGGGGTGAGGGAAGGTCGTCTTAAAGCCCTCAGGGATTCACTGTCAGGCACACCAGGCCACCAGCAGAGATTAGCTACTGTAGCAAAACATTGTATCCCGTGCATCTTATTTCTTGTTCCAAAAGTCACTCCTGTATCTGGCGAGTTTGGAAGTGGGGCCAGAGCTCTGGAACAGCCCCGGGCATGGAGTGTCTGCTTTAAGGGAGAATTCCTCTCCGTTTGCTTCCTGAAGAGATGGCATGTGACCAAGTCTGTGGTTTCTCCTTTTGCAGGAACAGCTTGAGAACTACGACTTCACCAAATTCCACTCGCTGAAGCCCAAGCTGATCGAGGCCGTGGACAACATGCTGACCAGCAAGATCTCATCCCTGATGAGCCTCATCAGCCAGGAGGAGCTGAACATGCCCATGCAGCTCGTGCAGGGCGGCGCCTTTGACGGCACCTCAGAGGGCCCCTTCAACCAGGGCTACGGGGAGGGCGCCAAGGAGGGCGCCGATGAGGAGGAGTGGGTTGTGGCCAAAGACAAGCCTGTCTACGACGAGCTCTTCTACGCCCTGTCGCCCATCAATGGCAAGATATCGGGCGTCAACGCCAAAAAGGAGATGGTGACCTCCAAGCTGCCCAACAGTGTCCTGGGCAAGATCTGGAAGCTGGCCGACTGTGACTGCGACGGCATGCTGGACGAGGAGGAGTTCGCGCTGGCCAAGCACCTCATCAAGATCAAGCTGGACGGCTACGAGCTACCCAACAGCCTGCCCCCTCATCTTGTGCCCCCCTCTCACAGGAAGTCCTTTCAGAAAGCCGACTGAGGGGCAAGCTGCCCACAGGGCAGGCAGTGCGGGGTGGGACTCCTGGGACATGGGCCTGAGGCCTTTGCTGCCACTGACTCACTGAGTGACCCCGGGCAAGGCACTGCCCTCTCTGTGCCTCAGTTTCCCCATCTGTAGAATGGGGAGGGCAGACACTGGACACTAGATGAGGTTCTTTCACCTCTAAAAATCCCTGAATTTTTATTAAAATATTGGGGGGAGGTGGGGTAAGGAGATTGCAGGGTGGAGAAGAAAGAGAAATTGACCAAAGAGCACTCAGAAGCCTGGAGAGACCTAAGTGTGGGGGCGGGCTTGCGGGGGTCCCAGGAGCTCGGGGCGTGAGCTGGGGCACAGCTGCAGCGTGTCTGCTGGGCTTCCCTGGACCGGCTTCCCTGGACCGCTCCTCATCATAAACCTGTTTGTCCCTCAGGGCAACCTGAGGGAGCAAAGATGATCTTATTTACTTTGTTTCCTGCTATATTTAGAGTGGAAAAAAAATAGAGTAGAGAGGGTTTCTGTTCTCTCCATACTGTCTACCAAAGAGAAGGCGAGTGCTGCCCGAGGTTTGGGAGGAGAATGCACGGTGTCTGTGTGAGCCCTGTGCCTTCTGCAGGCCCGAGCAGAACAGTCAGCCAGGCCGCAGACGAGTCTGTCCCAGCCCCGAA